GATTGGGGCTTTAGGTTCTAAGTACAGATACTCTAATAACCCTAAACCCTAAACCCTACTAAATCCCATGATCTTTCAAGTAGGGTTTGGCCGGATTTAGGGTTGAGGGATTAGGGGTTGCTGTTCAGGGCTTACTAAGCCCGAGTTGAGGGCGTGGGATTTGGGTCTAAGGCTTGGGGCTGGGTTTAGGGTTTAGGGTTTAGGGTTTAGAAGTCTCTCCACCTTTGGATGACTTGGTGTTCTTTGACGTCGTCAAAGACTCACTGAAATCTGCCGTCGTCTGTACCGAGAAAGGACCTTGGCTGACTTCTGAATCCCTCCTAAAAAGTTCAACTTTTAGCATCCTTGTTATAATCCATACAGAAACCCAGAAAGTTAAAGTCTTAAACCCTAAACGCCAAACGCAAATCTCTGAACCCTAAGCCAAGGGACGGTTCATGTTGCCGTTGTCGTTGTTGTACTCGTTGTCCCAGGCTGTCAAGACGTCCTCCGACCCCTACACCCTAGACCCTAAACCCCAAACCCCCTAACCCCCAAACACTAAACCTAACCATAAACCCTAAACCCTCAACCCTAAGCCCTAAACCCTAAACCCGACGCCCCGTACCCTAAACCTTAAACGTCCTCCGCGTTCATTGAGCGCCGTCTCTGAGGAAGCTTTCCTTTGTTGCTGTTAAGGAACTTCGGGTTTAGGGTTTAGGGTTTGGGGATTCGGCTTTAGGGTTTAGGGTTTAAGAGCTTCATTTAAGCTACGATCATAGGGACCTTATGATGGTAACTTCGTTTAAGTTCCTCAACAGCAACCCAGCTTCTGTTCTTCAACCGCGAAGGCTTCGGCTGAGCTGGAGCCTGGATGTGGCCATAACCTGGGTGCTAGTTTTGGGGCTCCCCAAAAGCCTTTAGGAATACGTACCTCTATAAACCCTAAACCCTAAACCCCAAACCTTAAACCCTAAACCTGTAGGAGACTATATAAAAGGGAAAGGATACAAAAATTTCAAAATCAAGGAAGTAACGGCCTGATTCTGTCCTGTACTCGGACAGCTCGGTCACATGTTGCTGCACAAGCCGCTCCACCAGATCTCGGAACTCGGCAGAGATCCTGGGGCCACGATCCAAGTCTCCTTCCGGCGACGGCGAGAAATCCTGGGCTGCTGCTGGGGAACTCAATTTAAGGTATCAGAGTAGGGATATATATCTGTAATCAATACATAAATAAATGAATATGAATACATATATATATATATATATGTATACTTATACATACATACATACATACATACATACATACATACATACATACATACATACATGTAGTAGATAGTATGGCTTCCTTGTTATGGCAACTTCAGTTAAGCTCCATAACAACCCTAAACCCTGACAGAAATTCCTTATATTTCAACCTCCTTGCCCAGAACTTCCAAAGGAACCCTTAAAGCAACCCTAGCTTGATTTTTTTCACATTGACCGAGCCCCTAAACCCTGAACCCTACACCCTAAGCCCCTAAACCCTCAACACTAACCCTTAAACCCTATAAACCCTAAACCCGAAACCCTAAACCCTAAACCCGAAACCCTAAACCCTAACCCTAAACCCGAAAACCCTAAACCCTAAAAGCCCTAGACCCCTAAACCCTAAACCCCGCCCAGGAGCTTCGTCGAAGGCACGGCTTGGGTCTTCCGTCGGGCTCGGGTCCGGGACCCCGCTCCCGGCGCCGGAGGGGACCGGCATGAGAGCGGTGCTCGAAGAGGGCCCAGGGGGAGTATCCCTTCCTCTTCTGGAGAGCTGCGGCAGAGGGTGGCGGGTTCAGGGCTTAGTAGGGTTTAGGGTTTCTTTGTGGGGGAGTTTAGGGCTTAAGGTTTAAGGTTTGGGGCTCATGACAGAAGTCGTGAACCCCAAAGCACGCAAGACATCAGCCCGATCCTTAGAATCCCAGCGTGAGCCAGCAATGACACACAGAATTATCGGGGGTCTGGGTCATAAAAGCCTGCCACTGCCAAACGGGTTTAGGGTTTACAGTAGGGTTTTAGAGTTTCGGATTTAGGGTTCAGGGACCGTAGAACGATGGCAACCCACCAGCTAAAACAGATCTTGGACAAAAGCACCAATCACTGACGTCTTGGCGACGGTGACGACGACCATCACCACTGCCACAACGACAGCAGCAGCCGAACTTTGAAACACACGCAGCCAGTACAGATTCGGCAGTAAGGAGACTGTGAGACTCGCCATAGCGGGTCCTCTTGACCCACGATGCCGATGCGCATGTTAATTCTCAAATCGAATATGTTACTCATTCTGAGCTCCAGGATACAAAGCTCGGAAATCTAGTTCTTACAGATTCGTCACACAGCACCTATGCATCCTAAACCCTAAACTAAAAAACACTTTAAAACAAGCCTTGCACCCCAAATACACCTTCATCGTACGCCTTGTAGGCCGCAAACCATTAGAGTCAACCCTAAACCCCCAAACCCCCAAAGACTAAACCCCTAAACCCTAAACCCCTAATCACCCTTGTAAAGGAACCCCAAGGCCCTAAGCCGCATCTGCAGACAGCAGCTGCAACGCCTTGAACTGTCGCAGCTTCTCGGTTCTGCCCATGCCGAGCAGCTCCTTGGAGGCGACGCCCTTAAAAGGGGACCTTCTTAAAGGGGACCTCCGTAAAGGGAACCTCCTTAAAGCGGACCCTCCCTCCTTAAAGGGGACCCTCCTTAAAAGGGGACCTCCTTAAAGGGGACCTCCTTAAAGGGGATTCCTTAAGAAAATTCTTGAATGATCATGGGACTACGCAACTGACAGGCTTCCCGAAGAGGGGCTCCTTAAAGGGGGTCCTTAAAAGGAATCTACAAGGGGTCTAGGGTTCTAAGGACTTTGTAAGTATGGCTGCAAGTGCCCTAATCGGGGTTATACGTAATGATAGGTACAGTTACCCGAATAATAACCCTAGTTACTAAGTCTCATGATCTTTCAAACAATCATATTTACGAGGGCCCATTAGAAATTGACAAAGGGCGCGCAAGTTGGAATAAGGCTTTGGGAATATCGCACTATAGATCTAAGAGGGACTAAAAAGAGATATTACCCCCAAACCCTAAACCCTAAATACTAAACCCTTTTAAAAGAGATATCACCCCTAAACCCGAAACCCTTAACCCTTACAACTCCGACGCCTGTAACCCTAAGCCCTATACCGAAATAGTAGGAGCTGAAGGCTCAAGGGCTTGTTCCATGTAGAGATGAGTCTGGTTTAGGGTTTAGGGTGAGAGTCTAACAAGTTTAGGGTTTAGGGTTTAGAACCTAACAATTATAGGGTTTAGGGTTTAGAGTCTAACAATTTCTGGGTTTAGGGTTTAGGGCTTAGGGTTTAGAGTATAACAAGGAACTTGCAGCCGCTTTCAGCGGCTAGCGTTCCCAACTCGACTGCTCAGAGCCCTATCTCTTCAAGGGCTTAGCGTTCAGGGTTTAGGGTTTGGGGGCACCAAGACTTGAGACGGAACAAAAGTGGGGGTTTAGGGTTGGGGTCCCATTTGTAATGTTAATATTTGCCATGCATCATTGCGCCAGATGCGGACTTCGCCACCGTATTTATCCGGTTCCGTTCCCTGCTCCACATCCTCGCCGTAGCTATACCCAAGGTCCTCCAGGCTTCGGCCATCTGCGCTGCGCGACTCGTCAATCCTGGTTTAGGGTTTAGGGTTTAGGACTTAGGGTTTAGGGTTTAGGGTTTCGGGTTTAGGGTGTAGGGTTTCGGGTTTAGGGTTTGGGGTTTCGGGTTTCGGGCTTAGGGGCCTCATCACCGTTGGCAAGACGACCTTCAGCACCATGGCCTCCAGAGCAGAACACAAGCATCATTGCGCGAGCAAATGGGAACCCTTTAAAGGATCCCTAGGGGTTTAGGGTGTTGGGTTTAGGGTTCAGGGTTCAGGGTTTAGGGACTGCAGCAGCAACAACAAGAAGGAGACTCCTAGTAGTCGTCGTCGTATTAGTAGGAGTAGTAGAAGCAGTCATCGTCGTCGTCGTCGTACTGCTGCTGCAGCGATTGCCTTTGCTGCAGCGGCGGTGGCGGTGGAGGTGGCGGTGCTGGTGGTGGTGGGGGCGTCGGTGGTGGTGGAGTTGGCAGCAGTGGTCAGGGGGTGGCGGCAGCAGCGGCAGTGGTGGCTACACTTGTGGTAGTTCTTGTGGGCTTTGTGGTTTTCGCAGAAGGAAAAGCCGCAGAATGACCATATAAAGACGTACTGAAACAACAGACAAGGAATAGTGGTAACACCTGCCATCGATACAAAGACATGACAACGGCCATGACTCTCGTCAATGGCCGGCCCTATCGATCATCTCACAAGACAAATGTCAGCACATGGCTTGCGACACATGCAGGCTGCAGAGGGTCCCAAGCGTTTAGGGTTTAGGGTTTAGGGGACAGTACAAGTCAGAAGTAAGAGCATGAGTATTCGGAGTAGAACAAATCCCCTTTCCGATTTTGGAAACTTGATGACCTCTACTGTCAGCTCTCAGATTACGTAAGGACGAGGCCCTCCACACTAGCTGTGAATGGCAGCCCCGGAATCGATGTGATACACTGATACAGATACACTTTAAAACCCTAAAATACATTTTAAAGTCCTCACACCCAAAAACTTGAAAGCCCTAAAGCACACAGGAGCTTTACAGGGATGTTACAGGATAGAGTTGCAACCCTATACGTGATACAACCCTAAACCCCCTTGGCTCCTCATCGAGCATATTCCCGAGCAAGGCAGAACGATCCTCCTAAACCCTAAACCCATAAAAACCTTAAACCCGAAACCTCAAACCTTAAACTCTAAAGCCATAAACCTTAAACCCTAAACCCTTTTAAACCCATAAACCCTTAAACCCATAAACCTTAAACCCTAAACCCTACACCCCTAAACCCATAACCCTAAACCTCAAACCTTAAACCCTAACCCTTAGGGCCTGCATATCGTGGGTAAAAACCGGCAAAGGCGGCCAAGACGATTCAACCGAGGACTGCTTCTCCGATTCGAGTCGGAAAGCCTGGGTCGGGCTTGAATGTTAGGGCTTAGGGCTGGGATCAAATTTACACGTTTAGGGTTTAGGGTTTAGGGTAGCAATCTCAGCTATTTAAACACCAGCAGCATAAGCACACGCATACAAAACGCCAGGAAATGAAGAAAAACTATAGAAGATGTCGACAGCTTCTCAGATGAGCAGTAATCATAGCCACACAGTCTACAATGTTCATGAACTTTAATGCCAACGCAATCCAACAAGATCAACAACAGCGAGAAGTTATGAATACATGCATCGCACACCCCTATCTGGAATTTGAGTCAAAAACCTCAACATCGACCCCAACAGAATAAAAAGACAAGGCAAGACGTTGCCTTGCCGCCTTTGTCTTCACATTCCGAAGCTGGAAGTAAAGTGATTTACGTCGCATGCATGTTTTGAGGCTATTTCGAGAGAGCTATGAAGATTCCAGAAGAAACTTTGCTATGCATGGAGGAAACCGTCCTTGCTAGGTCAAACGGTAGGCACTGGGAAATAATGTGGACATGGATGCTGGGTCCCACAGTAAAAGAAGCCAGAAATGCAAGCATTAACAGCAGCGAAAACCCTGGGACAACGCTGCAAGACCGCAGTTCCAGATATAACCCTGACAGAAACCCAACAAATTCGACTTTGATCTTACTTGAAAGCAGCAACACAAAACAGCTAAATGAACATACAACGGAGTTCAAGACACCCACGCAAGAAGCCGAAAACATGAAACCACGCAGTGCATAGCAAAAGTCAGAAGCAGACCCTAAACCCTAAACCCCAAAGGCAAGCATGAAAAGGAAAAGGGCCCAAGCCCAGCCACCTGGCAAAAAAAGCAGCTAAACAGGATGTATCTGAGCAGCGAGAACCGAAAAATCACAGCAGTCCTCGGTTTAGGGTTTAGGGTTTAGGCCAGCAGCAAAAGGCACTCTCGCGCTGAGCTTGAAACGTGCCAAGCAGGCAAACCCCGAAACCCCTGAACCCTAAACCCGTAAACCCTGAACCTTAAACCCCTAAACCTGGATCCCTAAACCCTCAACCCCCAAACCCTGGCCCATCTGGGCCCCAAAACCCTCAAAACCCTAATCGTCACCGCTAAGTAAACCCTGAGGCTCAAACCCCTAAAAGCGGCCCCTAAGCCCCAAATCCTAAACCCTAAACCTTCAACCGTTAAATCCTCAAAAGGCTTCTAGAGCCCTAAACCCTAAATCCTAAACCCTCAACCCTCAACCGCGAAATCCTCAAAAAGAGCCCTTTGTAAAGGAGCTGCTCGAGATCAGCCCCGAAGCTTCATCCTGATCCGGATCGGCGACATCGAGCACGCCATTGGCACACGCGTCTGCATACCAGTACTGGATTCCACGATCATCCCACTGGTTCCTGCTACTATAAGGGTTTGTAGGGTTTGGGGTTTTCGCTTTAGGGTTTAGGGCGTAGGCTACTTTTGTAAGGTTTAAGATCTGCAATATCCTACTTTTGCAGGGTTTTAAGATAGGCAACCCCACCTTTCTAGGGCTTCGAGTTGGATTTTGCTACTAATTCTTCGAAGATTTCAGCAGCCCCCACCCCCGCAAGACTCCTGAGCAAGAAGTATTGGCGGCTGTAGAGGTGCTTCGGCTCGTTGGGCTCACCCACGGCATAGCACAAAGTCGGGTATCCACCCTCAGACCGAATGACCCATATTTTGCACTCCTCCAGAGACCTCGGCACGATACCGTTTCAGCAAAGAACGCATGAAGAGCAGTTCATAGCTGAAAGATCTGCGAAAACTCGTGCTGCCAAGTGCAACAGAAAGACGTGGCTCGTCTGGGAAACTTCTTGGCATAGAAGCCCCACCAAGACGTGTTGAACAACTCATCATCGGCAGCATCTCTCATCGCCTGCAAGTTGGCCTGTCAGCTTCGGGCCGAACGTTGAACATACCATAAGCCATAGAAGTCTCGCAAATCTAAGCTTTACAGTATGTTCATTCCAGAAGTTGTTCCCCTCCCTGTGAGAACTAGCATTGTCATCGATAGCATCAGAGTCACGGTCATCCTGAATGTAGGCATCAGCACAGAAAATCTGCATAATCACCTCTGCTCGCTAGTATCTCATTTCCACCGAGATGGCCCCAGTTTTCCTTCATTCCCTCCATCTCTGCTACCAAGGTTACCGCGCCGCACCGCGAACATTGCCCCAAACCCGAAACCTTAAACCCCGCCCTTCTTCTTTGCCTTAGTCTCGCTGGCATTCCAATAACGTTCGAAAAAAGTTCGATCACTCCAGGCATGCACCAAAAGCTTGTGAGCTGCTGCCATATGAGGGGCCATATATATGGTCGACAGATAGATAGATAGATAGATAAGGTAGATAAGGTAGATAGGTAGGTAGTGAGATAGAGATAGAGATAGAGAGAGAGAGAGAGATAAAGAGATAGATAGAGCAATAGATAGATATACATATTCACTTGCTAGATAACATATACAAAACGTAAAACATAAGGTCTATAACGATGAACATGAACAAACCGACAACTTCTGTTGCTGTTGCTCACGCCTCACGACGATATTTCCCCTGCTGCTGCTCTCGCAGTTTAACGCTGCTCACCAGTCCAACTACCGGTACCACTACTACCACAACACCACCACTACCACCAATACCACTAATGTCACCACCACCAGCACAAACACCACCACCATCGCCACTCCTACTGCTGCTGCTGCTACTACTCCTCCTCCTCCTCCTCCTACTACTACTACTTCTACTACTACTACTACTACTACTACGACTACTACTACTACGACTACTACTACTACTACTACTAGTACTACTACTACTACTAGTTACTACTACTACTACTACTACTACTCCTACTCCTCCTCCTCCTCCTACTACTACTACTACTACTACTACTACTGCTACTACTACGACGACGACGACGACGAATAATAATAATTCTACTACTACTACGACTACTACTACTGCTACTACTACTACTACTACTACTACTACTACTGCCACTACTACTACTACTACTACTAATAATAATAAGAATAACAATAGGAATAACAGTAGCAACAATAGTATTGCTACGATTGTTGTTATGATTGATTATTATACTCATGATTATGCTGATGCATATTAATCTTAGTAGTACTAGTACTAAGAATGGTGGTAGCAGTACTGATAGTAATAATCAAAATCAGAACCGAGAGAAAAACAAATATATATATATATATGCATGTATGTATGTCTATTGTACAATACCACTCATCATCAGCCCCAAAACCCGAAGCCCAAACGGTAAGCATCAAACCCCAAACGCATCCTGCTTGTCGAAGCGCTGTGGGCAGGTCGAAGGCGCCGCCGGCTGCACCTAAGCTATAAACTCCGTAAAGGAATAAGCCTCAACCCCACACAACTAAAACAAACAAAGGTATCCTGCTTCCCCAAGGCCTGAGACACATCCCCTCAACCTAAAAGTTAGGAGTACTTTTCTCAGATTGCTTATGGATGTTTGGTCGCGAGAGCTTAGGATAGGTATAGCTAAGTGCTGTGGTTTTGCTCTAGGGCCTAGGGTTTGAGCGGGAAGTGGAGCAACTGGGGATTGGGGGCTTAGGATGCATGACTTCCGGGTAATGGCGTCGACTGTGGACAAATCTCGGGAAGCGGATCACATCCTGACAAATCCTTTGAACCGTAAAAGGTAAGCCCCAAACCTACATACATGTGCAGCCATTTTGCCTGTCACTCTGAACCCTCAAAACCCTGGACCTTTGTGTTGAACGATCGGCTGGGTCTACTAGCTCGAACGCTGGACGAACGCGCAAGCTGAACGTCGCAGGGTATAAAGTTAGCGCGAAGGACAGCGTTTCAAGGTGCAGTAGGGTCGTACTCTGGGGTCGTGTTGGGAATTTAATTTGGTTTAGAGTTTAGTGATATTTAGGGCTTAGGGATTGGTATTTGGGATGTGTTATTAGTCTAGTGGAGAGTGAGTGAAGGCCGCAGGGGTCCCAACATCTTAACGTAAAAGTGCACAGCTTTTAGACCAAAACCTTTCTAAACGGACGGTAATGGCGTGAAGAACCTGGAGATCCTGTGTCTGTCTGACTGCCTGCTTCCTATGAAGTCTCATGATGTCTGATGAACCCTACACCCTAAACCAGAACCCTATGTCCGGTAAGTATGTCTGAGATGCTGGTGGAGTTAGGGCCCAACTCCTGTTCGAGGCAGCGGGGATGTGGCTTCAAGGAGGGCAAGGAGGCCATTGGCAAGTCTGAATCAAGCAATGTGCAGGCGTGGAATAGCTGTCTCAGCATTTATGTGTGTGTATATATATATATACACATACATACCTATATACATACACATGTCGGCAACCCGGGCGCGTTCGAGGCTTAGGTTTGAGGTGTAGGTGCACAGACCTGGAGACTCATCCTCCGCACACCCCCGGCCCCCAGTCTTCCACACAAAGACAGATAATGGAAGTGGTAGGACAAGCAAAGGAATGTAGACCCCAGGGTTTAGGGTTTAGGGTTTAGGGCATACCTGACACTAACCCCTAAACCCCTAAACCCAACCGCTCGGGACCGGTAGTATCCTGACATCGAAGGCACAAAGCAATCATTCCTGTTTCACAAGGCGACGCCGAAACCGAACGTAGCGTAATATCTGGCTCAATGACTTGAATAGGGTTTTGGGGTATATAGTAATTTTAATTAGGAGCCCCAAACTAGCATTGGTATACCATTTAGGCCCCTATACTAGAGTGTCAAGAGGCCGAAGGAGACCCTTCAACCTTTCGGGCTTCGGGAATTCAGGGTCAATAGTGGCCAGCATTGTTCCTGGGGCTCTTGTTAGGGCTTGGGGTTTAGGGTTTAGTGTTTCTTTTATTATATCTATACATACTGTAACGTACCCCACAGCCATATTCTAGTTCTAACTGTGAAGGCCCTTACACTAAGTAGACAGAGTAGGGTTTGAGTGTTGCGCTTCTCAGGATGCGCGTGCATCCAACTTCACAAGTACATGACAGAATTCCAGTACACCTCCCCTAGACACCCGGAGCCCCAAGCACCAAAGCTCGTCCCCAGATCATAAACCCAAACTAACCCTTCCCGTCGCTAGATCGTAAAACCCGGCACCCGAGATAAGCCTCGGCTTGCGGCATGAACTTCTCGTAGAACACGCGCGCTGATGGCAGCCACCTGCACCCAGAGAAGCCAATACCCCTTTATTGAGGAATGTACCTTAAAATATAGGGGCCTTAATATCATGATTTAAGGTATATTTCCGTAATTAAGGGATACTGGGTTCTCTGGGCATGTCTTGATTTCTCGAAGCTTGTCAGGATCCTTGGGGCTGTCTTACTTCCCCCAAAAAGCCAGGAAAATAAGAGGGTCAAAGTTTCAGATTGCTACTAAACTGTAAGAGCCCAAAAAGATTAAAGGTTGGGTGTTGGAGAACTAAGGCTTACATACTGTTGATGACATAAATCCTGCATTACCTTAAGCACCCTAAACTATGGGAATTATGGTATATTCCTTCTAATTATTATCATGGGGTAATGCAGGATTTATGCCATCAGCCGTAGGGTTAAGGATTTGGGGTTTAGGGTTGGGGACTCAAGGTTTTGGGGTTCAGGTTTCGAGACTTCGAGGGTTTCTAATAAGGGATGCTTCCGCCGCCTCCCGCACACCCCACCCCACCCCACCCCACCCCACCCAACCCCACCCCACTCCACACCCCCACACCCCACGAAAAGGAGGGAGGGAGGCCTTCTCAGCCCGGAACCAGCACGGAGTCTCAGGGTGTAATTCAAATTTCCTTAGAGGGTTTGGTCTTTAAGCCTAAACCCTGAAGCCCTAAACCCCAAGCCCTAACCCCTAAGCCCTAAACCCCTATACCCCTAAAGCCTAAACCCCTGCCAGGGCCTTGGCTACCCCCAAAAGCCTCAACCCTAAGGGCCTAAAGCCCGAAATCCTAAACCCTCAACCTTAAACGCCTTAACCCTGAACCCCACTTTGCTGTACCCCAATCTGCTTTTTTTTGTAGGGTCCCTGTAAACTTTATACTAGGGGTTATGAGAAGAAACCTACACCAAAAGTAGGTGATGGCAGCTTTTTTATACCTTGAACCCTTAGCCATCTGAATACATCCTACTTGTCCGGTTTTCCTAGGAGAGGTGCAGACTAACTCATCCGGCTTTCTCGGAACTCTGCCACCCCTATACTCAACCCTCACACAGACATACTCAGAAATCCCTAGCAGTAAACCCAAACCCTAAACCTGAATCATAACAAACAATAACTCCTCAATTAGCAATAAGCCTTATACAATCACATAAGGATTCCCCCATATGCTCATATCAGTAAATACATGTACATCTCACATTATAAAAATATAGGTTCCTTATAATAAAAAAATACAGTTTAAAATCAGATGCTATGTCTGAAGGGGCTCCCGAGCTAAGACGACTTGGACTTTCAGAGGAGGCCTGGCGCGGCTCGCGGGGATGTTCAGGAGCAAAGCTGCGGCGACCGGCCTTCGGCTTAGAATTTAAAGCTCTTCCGGTACTCTAAGGGTTGTAGGGTTTAGGAGTTTAGGGTTTAGGAGTTTAGGGTTAGCCCATAGGCCCCGAAGTAGCTCCTTTTTATGGTTTATATTTAGAACCCTATAAGGTAATCCCCAAAAAGGAACTACTTAGGGGCCTATGGGTAGAGTTTAAAGCTCTACGGGTACTCTAAGGGTACCATAAGGCTACTATAGGGGTACTCTAAGGGCATCACAACTGATACTTTAAAGTATACGACATGGCAAAGGCATACATAGACTTCGTGGCAAAGCATTGTGGGAAAAAAACTGCTGCTTACTGCTGAAGATAAACTAAATGCCT